AAAATGAGTCCACTCCTTAAAATATATATTAATTAAATAATAAAATAATTATTAGTTGACTTCCGGCGTTGACCGTTGACTTCCGGCGTTGAAAAATCATTGACTTTCGACGTTGACCGTTGACTTCCTGCGTTGACCCGTGGACCCCTAGTATGCATCATATGTATGAAGTAAATATGCATCTAGTACCATGCATTCAATATGAACTAAATATGCATGGGATATGAATTGCACATGCAGTCCTTATGAACTAAATATACACCAATAATATCAACTAAGTATGCACCTGTTATGAACTAAATATGCATCTGTTATGAACTAAATATGCATCATGAATGAACTAAATATGCAGTGAAAAATATGCAATAAATTGTGCATTTTACATTGGTAATTTATGATGCATATTTAGTTAATTTATTATGAATATTTAGGTAATATATGATGCATATTTTGTTAATACGAAATGCATACTTGTTATATTTAAATTAAATATATAATAATATTTATATAATTAATTTATTATGCATATTTACTTAATTCATGATACATATTTAGTTCTTACGAAATGCATATTTAGTTCATGAACAGTGCATACCTATTTTATTTGAGATCCAATCAGAACAATTTATTTGTGTTATTAATCAATTTAAAATTAAAATTAATTATATAATAAAAATCATTAATTATTATATTTAATTTAATTGTATAAAATGTATATTTTATTGCATATTTTCGTTGCATATTTAGTTCATTCGTGATGCATATTTAGTTAGTAAAATGTGCATATTTAGTACATAAACAGTGCATACATAGTTGATATTACTGGCGCATATTTAGTTCATAAGGATAACATATATAATTCATTTATGATGCATATTTAGTTCATACTAAGTGCATACCTATTTTATTTGAGATCCAATCATAACAATTTATTTGTGTTATTAATCAATTTAAAATTAAAATTAATTATATAATAAAAATCATTAATTATTATATTTAATTTAATTGTATAAAATGTATATTTTATTGCATATTTTCGTTGCATATTTAGTTAAAATCCTGATGCATATTTAGTTAGTAAAATGTGCATATTTAGTACATAAACAGTCATACATAGTTGATATTACTAGTGCATATTTAGTTCATAAGGATAACATATATAATTCATTTATGATGCATATTTTTTTCATACTAAGTGCATAGTACTGATGCATATTTACTTCATACACAATGCATACTAAGGGTCAACGGTCAACGCTAGAAGTCAACGGTCAACGTCGGAAGTCAACGATTTCCGCCGGAAGTCAACGCCGAAAGTCAACGGTCAACGCCGGAGTCAACGGTCAACGCCGAAGTCAATGGTCAATTGTCAAAATAATATTTAAATAATTAAAATAATAAAATAAAGAAATAAGTAATAAAAATAAAGAATTATTATTATTATTTAATTGAAGAGTTAATCTTAGCCACACATAATGTACCAATCAATGGCTAGGAATGGGTCTCACATTCACACTTTAAATATGTGGACTCAGTGGATCCAATCCCTATATATATATATATATATATATATA